TGAGAACAACGCATCATGATATTGCATTCATTTGTACCTCTTTCATTCACCCATAGAATTAGTTTACGGTTTTTCATATGGCTATGTAACTGTGGCTTTCAGTATGGGTTGCCGGGATTCAAGAATTGATATGGGTTTTGAGTGAGGGGATAGGGATACAGGGTCGAGGGAGAGGCGGGATTTGGGTTTTCTGGGTATTGGATTTAAAGACGTGCCAGGGGTGTAAGACTGAAGAGGAAGGAGCTGAGAGATTGGGTATTGAAAATGGTAAAAATTCTAGGGCATGAGCAGCGGGAATAGGGGACTGTGTGTTTCATAAGACATCAGCAGTCATCCGCAAATCGTGTCCTGGGGGGATTTGAAAATGGAATACACATTAGGATATATAACCTCTGATGTTATATCACGTATAAATAGCATCAGCAGTACGAAGCGGCGATACCATTCGATGCCTATTTGCTTTTCTGATGCCTATGCAGTGTTGTTATAGACCAAATTCCTAGTAATGTCTTCTCTGCCCAGAAGGAAAAAAAATATAGTGGAAGACGAATTAATATTTGATGTGTCTTATTGAGAAGAATTCATCATTATAGGAAAGGGATCCTCTCCGGATCCCTTCCACCAAGTCCACTCATCCAGGCCATTGAAATTATCCAACGGCTACAAACAAGGGACCCCTTTAAAACTTATAATAACTTTAGTTGTTGGATCAAATTTCAATGGCCCGGTAAGGGATCTGGAGAGGATCCCTTTCCATCATTATATTGCAGTCATTTGTTCTTTCATTCTCCCATAGAATGATTGTCTTAATATTTCGTGTTTTTTTAGTATTTTAATTTTTAATATACTTTAGTTGTATAGACAATAATGTATGACGCAACTTTCAAGGTATGAAAATATGTCGAAGATAGGACTTGTGATATTGACTTCAACCTTGAATTAAATACTATTAATAAAGATTTATATTTTGGCGTTCAGTGTCCTGAGATGAGTTCTTGGTTTTACCTTGTTTTCATAAGTTTCCATGGGTGATTTGGTAAAGATATGAATATGCTCTATTTGTGAGTTTATTTTCATTTCAAATCCCAACGTTTATGAAAATTGTCAGATTGGATATTGTTTTCCTTTGTTCTTTAAATCATTGGCTTCCATATATCACCGTGATTTCTATGACTAAGATTTGTTTGGTAATTGTTTAAGGACTCTGCCAAAGAAAAAGACTAGCGAAAGTAATGGCCGCCAAGATATGCATAGCCATTCGATCATTTGGTCGCCCATTAACGGAGAACATCAACTGGGGGCTTCCACCTTACACACGGAAGATTGCATTGCCTGAATCACGAGTCTTATACACTGTGTTACGATCACCTCATGTTGATAAAAAGTCCAGAGAACAGTTTGAAATGAATGTCAAGAAACAGTTCCTGGTCATAAACACGGAAACACATGAATTGCAAAAGAAGTTCTTTTGGTTAAAACGCCAGCGGATATTTGGAGCCCAATATGAACTCCAGTTTTCTTGCAAGACCCGTTTGGATAAGGAAAAACTCCAGAAGTTGCTTTGAAGTAAGAGCCTTGCATCGACCCTTTGCTGAACCTGAACTTCCATGGCGTTGTTGGATGGTTCTGTTTTTAATTCAATAGGAAGACGAGATGAGAAAAAGAGGAGCACTTCAAATGTTGATGAAGATAGGCATTGAGGTTGATCTCTAGCAAGTTCTGTAAGTTTGTAATCTGTTTTTAGAAGATATGACGATTCAAAATCGCTTTTTATTGCAGTAGGATTTGTTTACTTAAAATATGGTTGGAGGTCGATGCAATAATGATTCAGCGCTTGAGCTTGGGTTAGATGTGTCACAGAACATTAGCTATCTACAAATAATTGCATTCTCTCTAAATAGCCTCTTCGCGCTCGTGCTAGTGCGAGTGGATAGGATTTTTATGTTGTGTGTATTTTGATTGCATGAATGTTTCTTATCAAACTGCTCATAACTTGCTGCTGAAGAAGTGTTGGCACCTGATTCACGCTACTGTCTGGGAGAGGTGCCCGTATTTAAATGGAAAATCAGGGAAAAAAGATTGTAGGCTTCCATAGCTTAATTAAATAGAGGAGTGTGTTGATATACCCCTTTATATTCGAAGAATAATTTAATTTCGTCCAGATAATAATCAAATTTGCGGTAGAGTATTTCATAATCAAATTTAAGGTTACGCACCTCCTAATGATTATCGTCACTAAAGAGCTGATGGTCCAATGGTAAATGGTGGATTGCGTGGCCTTCTTCAAACTAAAAACTGGAGGTCTCGAGTTTGAAATCCGATGCTGGTGTGGGCCAGACTTGTGGTCAAGGAGAGGCTAATATACCTATGTGAGTCTTCCTTGCCTTCGGAAGGAGATAGTGGCTTGTCACGTTGTCCCCATTTAAAAAAAATAAAAAAATAAAAAAAAAAAGATTATCGTCACTAAACTTTCCACCTATTGTAAATAGTAACTGTCTTGGCTTCTCTGCCACTCTTCACGAATTGTGAATAGTAATTTCCCTCATAGTATAATTCAATTATTTATTAATTATTGAACTGGGTAGATTAAGTTAGAATAGTAATTGTCATGCATGTGAACTTGGGGCTAGAATTGCCATGTATGCTGCCAAGGCTCAACAAACCATGGCTTGGAGGAATGGATGGAGGGGGTTTGGAATGGATTTAAGGTTTAGCCATGGCAAAGTTCCATGGGTGAAAATTGCTTAAGAAGATGGAAAATGTCATTTCGCAGCATTAGTCGATGTATTTTAGTGAAGAGCGAAAAATCGTTTTACCTTCTTCAATGGTTCACCAGCTATCCACGCGACAGAAAAATGATGGAGAACTTGAAATCTAACAGTAAGCAGCAAAGTGACTATTCATAAAAAATTTAGAACTTCACTATAGTATGTACATAATACATTCACCAAATATGCAACCAAATAGGAAGAATATATATCCAATTTTCTTGCATAAATCGGCGAAAACCTTCTTCTATACAATGGAGAAAGAAAAAAAAATTAAAAAATAATAAATAAATAAAGAAAAGAGAGAATAGAAGAGTACCCATAGCTGAAGAGGAGTTTGTCCCAAAAAAAACCCAAAGAGGAGAAAAGCCCTAAACTCTCTCTGGTTAGACCATGTGCAATTGTGAGTTAAAACCTAAATATTTAGCATTAAAAATTTAGGTTCCAATCCAAAAATAGTTTTTTTCCTTCAATGATTTTGGCTTAAAATTTTAGACCACGATTGTTAAATATTTATTTTTTTACAAATTTAAGAAAAATAGAATTTATGTAGATTATCCAAATTTACTTTTATGAATATTTTTAACCAAAAAATATTTAATTTCCAATAAATAATGAAAAATCACTAAACCTACTCCATGAAACATGAAAGTCATGCAACAACAATTACTTTATTTTATAAATATAGAGATATAAAATTGGAAACTTGAAATGGTTCTACATAATAAGTTTTAATCTTACAACAATTACTAATACAAACGATAGTTAAAATACTAAATAGAAAAAAATAAAAGATGACTAAAATACGAATAGACATTAAATGGACTATCATGCTCAAAGATATATACCCAAAGTTTATAGCCCAATGATTGGAAGAAGCTTGGGGGGTTTAAAACCCAAAAGATTTGTGGGGGCCCACCACTATCCTTGGCTCATTTTCTGAGGAAAATTTAGATCAAAAATAGGTTTTAACAGTTCAAGGCTTGGAGTTTAAAGCTCAAATTTTGAGTTGTAACCCAACAACCATTGCACTTGGTCATACGGGTCTGAGCCCATATATCCTTGCTTTTCTCAGTTCATTTTCCTTTCATTCTTTCTTCTGATCTGGTTTCCAAAGAGGAGAAAAGCCCTGAAGCCTCTCCAGCACTCTTTTATTGCAGTGGCGGAGCCACCCCATTAAACCACCATTTCTCCAAGAACATCAAACTCAGAACCTCACTCCTCGACCCTCAGGTACCTTCTAATCTCTACAATTTGCCGTTGTTTTTGTTTAATCTACTTTATATTTTCCTTATGTTGAATGTCAAAATACAACCACAAAATAAGCATAAATGATTCAAACCAATTTGCAAGGTAAAGACAAAAAGTAAAGCGAAACAAAGAATAAGTAAAAGTTGAAGGTAAAAGCTTGTAAATACTTGTAAGGTGTTAGCCAAAGTGACAATAAATTGCATGAAAGGGTAATAACTTGAAAGTAAATGATAAATACAAACAATCAGGCAAAGTTTAAACATATTCAGGTAAGTTAGATGTTATTCAGCCATGTTCTTACGAGTACAAGGTGTGTTTTGAGAAGAAAACTTTATTGTAGGATATCAATACTACAAAGGAGGTTGTAGAGCTATAAATACAAAGAAATATTTGAACTACAAAACGAATGTATGAAAAGTAGGTTGCAGAGTTTTAGAAGTCTTTTTGTATGTTGTGTTAGTGTCCTTTCTTCTATCTCTCCGCTACCCTCTTATAGAAACTGCCTCTTTCTTCCAAAGTAAGTTCTCAATTCTGTTCAAGTAGTTGATGAGATTTTATCAAATGATGAGTTTCTCAATTGGATACTTGAGCTTTGATCCTCTTATATCTACATTTTTGCCATTGAAAAAGTGTTTTTCTCTATAAAACCTTACTACAAATCTCCTTTTACATTGTGAACGAGGGTGATCTTGCCGCCCAATCATGCCACGTCAAAAGCACTTTTAAATTTGGGATGCCTACTGTTCATTTGTGTTAAAATTAAATACCCACTATGCAAACCAAGTGAATTTCAAAGAATTGGGCTTCGAACAGGCCTAATGCCCAACTTCAACCCAAACAATAGGTATTGTTCTTGACATAATGATTTTGTTTCGCTTAAATTTCTAAATGGGCCTTTGATATGTTTAGATTAAACTAGCAAAGGTGCCCGCGCAATGCTGCAGGTTTTAAAATTGTATAAAACATGTGAAAAGATCTAAATACATACGATCTGCAATAGTATTTAGATATATGTTGAAATCTGTTTACAATCATATGGATTGGCGGTTCTATTGCCATTGTTCTAATATTGACATCTTTTACAAATTTGAAGTTCCAAGAGTCCTTAACTGAAAGAAAAGATAAAAGTTTCTTTCTTACTGAAATCTATCAATTTGAATCAAATCTACCAAAGAAGTATATATTGTAGCATACCTTGTAATTTCTGCAAGATGTACACCTGCAATATCAATAGTGACATAATTTCTACCTAAGCCATTGGAAAAACCAAAATTGAACAGAACTTCCTCCCCCCTCATTTGACCAAATAAAATAAGTAATGTTTCTCTTTTGGAACCTCTAATCACATGACACTCCAATCACATGACACAGAACCACACATAACAGAAATTTAAAAAGAAAAAGAACTGAACACATTAACTCTTGACAAAAACTTATTACCCACGAATGGAAAGTCACTGAAAACACAAATCACCAATGAAGAAATGGGGAAACAAATCAGCAACCTAACTTATATAGCATTAGGATGAACCATGCTAATTTGTTTATAACTGATCTGTCTCCCTACATTTTTCTAATTTGCAACCACATATAGTATTATAACATAATGATCAAACAAAACAGATTAATTCTTAAGCACACGTTAACTCTCGAGCATGGAAAGGCTTTGGTTTCTTGCAAAATAATGGAAAATAAAATAAGACAAAGCGTTTAAAATTTATTGAAATACAATGTGAATTTGGAGTACTTACAAAAAAGGTAATGACTGACAAAAGTATAAACATAATTAGAATTTCGGAAAGGAAATTATCAAACAGTAAATTTTTTTAAAGCTTTTGGATTAGTTTTTGAGTCACATTTGACAATTGATAAAAGTGATGGCCTACAAAACTCAAAAATAACTATTTTTTAAGATACAGGTTAATGAAAACTCAAAAATAAACAACAGAGAATGTTAAGTCATCCAATATTAAGATAGCTTCTTTCTGTAGTATATGTACGTTGTAGTATTAGATGACTTAACTTTTGCTATGTGACGTCCTTGAACAACCAAAAAATAAAACTAATACAGATGCAAGTACAATTAGATGCTTTAAATAAATTACTTGTCTAGTCAATATAAACCATTCACGTTTTCATTAAATAACCCGGAGTTGGCACTTCAAAAATATTAATTTAGCTACAAAGAAAACTACCTGAAGATTCCTGACTTGAAAAGGGCATCCAGCAGGGATAAAAACAGCTTGCCCCAAATGTTGTTTAAAGGACCATGGCTCAATTCTTGATAAAACAGGAAAAAAAACAAAAGAATAAAGTTCAGAATTTTCAAAACCTGAATGCTGAAAATCTCAAAGAATATCAAATATTCAAGATCACAGTCACATGCATAACAAAAAGTAAAATGATGTACATTATCTCTAAAGTATAGACCAATAAATAGTTAGAAATGCAGGTCACGATGTGTAGAGTAATTTTCAGAACACAAGATTTACAAATGTCGCTGAAGCCAGAGTCAATTTGACTTCAATTGTAAAAGCCAAATTCAAAGAACACAGGTTTCCATTTAAGAAACATGCGACTTCATCAATTTGAACAGAATTCAAGATAAGTGGCCAAAGCATTATGATTATTCAGCTAGTATTGAATAATGGATTCACCATATTTATAACTGACGAAATGCAATCAACCATCAAAATTGTATTCATTAAATAATTAACCCTATATCTTTTGCTAATGAATATTCAAAGTATTTGACGATAAAATAATAATAATGGAATAGATTAATCATCAATTAATTATCAGCAAAAAATAATATTCATTAAGAATGGGGTTTCTGCAACTCTAGATTTTGCAAATAGTGATAAGAGCCGAAAGATGAGTGGCTGGGACATAAACAGAGGTTAATGGTCCAGCTCAGCAGATCAGTTTAGAGATTGTTAGTGTTTTTAGTCTGTTAAGTATGTGCCATGAGAGCTAAGCAAGGTGATTAGTTGTTGTATAAATTGTTAACTCTCTATATTGAATAGTTAATTCATTCATACAATTACAGAGCAACTATTATATTACTTTCTCTAAAATTCCTTTTCTCTTTTGTTCACTCTGCATTTCTCAAATATTTCAACTTAGTTTGGGAATTTCAAGTGTACCGGTTGATACTCCACAGCCGAGAAGGGAGGCCAAGTTTGGGAAGTCTAGAACTTGGATTTTCCCAAAATTTCACCAAATCAAACCACAAAAATTAATCGAAGTAAACAAAGTGCACAATTTGTCGAAAGCAATTGATCCAACATTCATACAAATGAAATTTGATCATGAATTGAATAAAAAAAGTGAGAGAGAGGAACCTCAAGCACCTGAAACCCTACACATAAGAACACAAATTAATTTAAAATTTCTGCAACTAAACATTTGAATAAAAAAAAAAAATAGGACCAAAATTTCAAATTACTTGCCTTAAGTAGAGAGCATTTTACAAAACGACCTCTTTCGAGACCCAACCTTCTTGCAGCTAAGGCCTGATGGTGGCGGTGCAAGAGAGAGTTTGAGAAGTTGCAATCTAATCTTTTGGATTTAGATAAGAGAGAGCGGAATGACGCAGAAGAGTCGAGAATAGGCACCTTCAACGATGATGGACGCGTGGGCAGCAAGGGTAAAATCCTCTAAACAGAAACAATGCCGATGATCAACACGTGAAAAGCATATACTGAAAAAGCAGGGCAAAAACCCAAAAAACAAAAAAAAAAAAAAAAAAGACCAGAGACGGAGGAATGAGAGATGCGCATGTAGCAAGGACAAAATAGACTTTTCTTACTGTAGCAAAGTGTGAACAGTACGGGAACCAAGCAAAAACCAAGGGCAGTTCCGCCGTTTCACTGTTGGTGAACAGTGCGCTCTCTCACAGGATGAACAGTGCCATTCTGTTGGGTTTTAGTATATAGATAATTTTTAAAGTTTCAATAAACTATGATATAAACTTAGACTTCCAATGAAATTAAATATGATCAACTTTACAGGGCATGCAAGTCCACTACGCATCAACAAAAAGCCCAAGTATATTAAAGGTGGAAACTCTCATATATTAATTATAGTCTTATGATCGATGTAAGATTTTATTCTCCAACAAAAAGTTAGTATTGTGATGTTGATAGTCCTAAAACTCTAGCAGCATGGCTTGCTTTTAATCTCACAATCACAGTAGTTTGGGTACTCATAATTTTATGAAAGTTTTGATATGTAGTTCTATGTGTCTGCGTACTACGTCTATGAAATATCAAAGTAATTGAAAAATAAACTTAGTTTGGAACAAATGTAATAGTGATATATATGCCAAACTTCAGTTTGGCAGATTTGGCTATTAGTTTTCTTGAAATGATTTCCAACACCTTTCTATATCAATAACATTAATTACATATGAAACGGGGATTAAAACGTTTCTTATCAACAAAAAAATCAAATTAATTTGTATGCTAATTAATCAAAATTTCCATGAATATGAGTATGAATCATATATTATCTATTGAATAAATGAATATAAATCAGAATCATAACGAGAAGACTAGTTCGATTCATTCGAAAACTACAAAGCGCTACTTATGCAATGTATCTTGAAATAACCATCCACATTTACTTCTTATTACCTAATTTCATTTTTCATTGGAGAAACAAAATCTGAAAAATAATTGACCAAATTCATCCTTCGATTGTTTTTTTTCTTGAACAATATTTGGCTACTCAAAGATGAGTAGGAACTCATACTCAAAATTATTCGTCGTCAATTTATAGAACTTCGTGTTTATAATCAGAACTGTTTATATTATAAATCACAATATAAAGATCGCCTATGCAATAAATCAATTAAAACTAAGGTCATTTAGTCATCAAACTATTTAAAAACAAATGAACAGTATTGGTAAAAGCATTATGAACCGTCTATGTATTTGCTACAATAGATTGACTAAGCGACCTTAGTATTAATCTAAGTTTTGCAGAGATGATCTTTACAATGTGATTCATAGTATGAACGGTTTTGATTATAAGCACAAAGCTCCGCAATTAAAACACTAAGAATTTTAAGTAGGAGTTCCTACTCATCTTTGGGTAGCCAAGTACTATTCTTCTTTCTTTGTCCGTGCCCAACCAGTGCTATATATAAATCATGCACAAACATGTCTCTCCCACTCCCACAAGGACTAGAGTCGAATAACTAAAATAACATTAGAAATTTAGGGAACTCCAATACAAAGCAAAGTCACGATGCGTTCTGTCAACTACGTGCTTGCACTTGTTGCGTTGTGTTGTTGATAATTACAAGTGTACAATATCGTCCAAGTAATATAATGATAAGTAGAGTGTTGTTCAAACAAGGATCGGATTAACCTAAATTTACTATTGAGATTGACTTCAAACTAAACTTAAATAAAAGAAGGATTCCTATGACAACTTCAAATGTGCAAAGAAATGAAATGAACGTAAAAATAATAATTGATGGAACATGAAGTAAAAGTGAATGAATTATGCAAGATTAATATATGGAAGTACTAAGACATCAGGTTCCTGATTCTCAATCCCATCTAATCCCGTTATTCATATTAACATCAAATTATTCTCATGTTGCTAGCAATTATCCCTTGATTCGTCAATATTTCCTGTCAGAATATACTAACCGTGTTTCTAACTATCTACCCATGCTATGTCTAGCCACATATGTAGATAACCGAAACCCTTTATGCTCGATGGATAATTGCACGATACTACACAAATCATAACCAGTAGGTCTACTCAATTATGTAATTCATGGTAATTGTTATAAGAAGCAATCTACTAAACTCAACCTGTCAGTCACAATATAGTTATTCACACAAATAATGGCCAATTATTTGATAACGACGAAGCACAATAACAATTACTCAACATGGAAGATAATTGAGATTAATATATAATAACGAGAATTATATGTTCATGATAAGAGTACACCCTAGTCCTAGCAAAAGGACTTAGTTCATGATCAAACTAATAACAAACATAGATGAATTCAATGACATGGGATAAATCTTGAACTCCAACTTTGTATTTGAGTGTGTATATGCGCTGGGAAAAACTTGGAGCCTCTCCCAAAAATCCTTGCGGTACTGGGTTCTCCACCTTTCTTGCGGCACACGTTTTAGGCTCTCCAAAAGAAAACTCCACTTATTCCCCCTTCGTCAGCCTCTTAATAAGGGGATTAAAAACCTTCTCATTCTTGGAAAAGTCCAACGCCACTTTTTATGAAGCCCAAATTCCAGCACAACTCTCACAAGCAGCAGTCCACTTCGTTATTCCTTCATACTTTCTTTATAATTCTTCTTAAAAAACCACACTTATCTCTGACTATTATTTCTACAAAACTCACACAAAACACATCAAACTCACCAATTTAATATAAAATCATGACCAACTAATAAGTAAAAGAGGTATAAAACATGCATATAATATCACCCTAATAAATACCCCCAAACCTATCTTTTGCTAGTCCTCGAGCAAAACATAAAACAAAAATAAGAAACTGACTAAAACAAGTCTAACTAAACCCACTTTCACTGGCGAAACGATTGCACTGAGCATGTGTAACAAGCCTTTAAACCCCTGGGTGTCCCTAGTCGGAGGAGTTGTGTCTCCTGAGAGTTTACCAGTTACGCTACCCACAAACGTTTTACTGAAAAGCAAAGGTGTTATAGTTATCACTCCCAACAATTAATGAAAGCCAATGCATGCCAATCACACTTCCAAAACTAAAGTTATGCCCTTATAAGTCAATGCATCACAATGGAAAGTATGTAGCCAACATCCCAAGCACTCGGGCTTAAAAACATCCACACTTGGCGTGTGTACAAATTTGCCTCGACTCTAAGCCTCACTAGATATCATTCAATTTTCTCACAGAACCTAGGCTTTCTCTCTTAACAAGCATATGTGATGATTTTATGCAAAAGGAATCAATATATAATCACATATGATCAACATTGAAAAATAGCCATTTCTGAAAACATATCTCATGAAAAGAATCGAATACTAAGAACATAGCTATCAAGCTTCACCAAATAAGCTAGACTTCCCCATAAATCCGTTAGGTCTTTGAAACAGTTGTAACGTAAGGCTAGGTATTTGGGCTAAGAAAGAAAGGATAAGGAAACACAAGAACTTGAGAAACACCAAGACTTTTCATATGTAGTTAGCTTGGCACCCCTTTGAACCTTGATATACAATTTGTGGCGTCCAGGACTCATGTTATATGAATGGTACCATTTCTCTTTTTCTTTTTCTTGACTTTTTTTTTTTCTCTTCTTTTTTTTTTTAAATGAAATAACTACAAGAAATAATAATAATAAGACACATGGTACCTCAGTACACGCCACTAATTTGATGTAGAACTCAACCTTGATTTCTTTTGGTATCACCTTGGTATCTCTCAACCTATATGGTATGGCTGATATAGGGTAGAGTGGATAAGAATTTATGTGGGTGATGAAAGAAAAGGTTAAGTATTTGGCTTCAATGGGGTTAATGGAGCACACAAAAGGGTAGGGAATAAGCCTTTTAGTAGTGGAAAACATGTATAGCCTAACATCGTTATTTGATAATGACAAAGCACAATAACAATTACGCAACGTGGAAAATAATTGAGATTAATATATAATAACGAGGATTATATGTTCATGATAAGAGTACACTCTAGTCCTAGCAAAAGGACTTAGTTCGTGATCAAACTAATAACAAACATGAATGAATTCGATGACATGGGATAAATCTTGAACCCCAACTTTGTATTTGAGTGCGTATATGCACTGGGAAAAACTTGGAGCCTCTCCCAAAAATCCTTGCGGCGCTGGGTTCTCCACCTTTCTTGCTTAGGCTCTCCAAAAGAAAACGAAAACCCCTCTTACCGCCCGCCCCCTCCCCCTCCCTCCTGCCTCTTAATAAGGGGATTAAAGCCCAAATTCCAGCACAACTCTCACATAGCAGCAGTCCACTTCGCTATTCCTTCATACTTTCTTTATAATTCTTCTTAAAAAATCACATTTATCTCCGACTATTATTTCTACAAAGCTCACACAAAACATATCAAACTCACCAATTTAATATAAAATCATGACCAAATAATAAGTAAAAGAGGTATAAAACATGCATATAATATCACCCTAACACGCTGGTCAT